GATGAATACAACTGCAGGCGGCTACTCGTCTTATCGATAAGAACCATTACATTTGTGCAGGCCGACGCCGCTTGTGGTGTGTGATCTGCACTCGACGCGCATCTGGTTTTCGGAAGCAGAGCATAATTTTAGGAATCGGTTTTAATTATTCTGGTATCAAAAATCCGTAAAAAAAACCTCGACAAACGGTTGGTAGGAGATTATCAGCCGGCAACCCACATGGGCTGCCTCCTGCGTGAGTGTATTCGAAAGATTTTGGAGCAAATATCAAGAAGTCAGGCTTGATTTTGAAATCACCTTGTGCCAACTGAGCAAAGTGACAACACATTGAAAATTTTATACTTATAATAAATAAAACAATAGAAAATTCACTGTTTCATTCCAGATCGGGGCAATTCAGATTCTCGCAGTCCACCTTGCTCTTGAACAGACACAATTCTTTTCCTTTACAACGCTGCCCACATTGTTTGCAATAAGGCCGAGCATCTGTAAACATCAACCTCTATAAAACTCAATAAACACAGCCTGCACAAAGAGGAACGCAAACTCTCTACACTTGTTACTTTATCGAATTTTCATGTTGTTCTTCACATACTTCTGATGAATTGTCACCAATCCGAAATTACTCTAATTAATTACCAATATCTACAATATAAACTATATAAAACTTCAACTATAAAAGCTATTTGAGGAATTTTGCTCAAGGTGAATAACTTAAATCAGAGGCAGTGAGTGTGATAACTTCGCCAAAACTATCGAGAGTATAGACTGGAGTTTCATCTGATCCTTCTTAACTCTTTTCTTTGAGCAGTCTCTCCATGCTCTGGTCTCACAAGGCTTGGAATTCCGCTCTCACCTGGCTTGCCGGTTCCACGAGGGCTGTCGGTATACTCGTGTCTCGAAGTTCCGGCAAGCTCCTATGACCCCTTTTGTGGCGCTAAGGGCACCATTGCCGACTGGTGTGGGTGTCTGCCGGAATTCCACTTGTTGTGGCTAGGGCGTTCTTCTGTCTCCGTCTCTGCTTTATTACTTCTTACCATGGACTTTTCCCACTATGATAGCGATAGATGGTACGACTACGATCCTCTTGTCTATTTATTTAGTATTTATTCAATGTTGATTTAGTGTTTGCTTCATCTACCCCGTGTGTAAGAACGCGTCATTGGGACGCATAAATAAATAAATAAATAAAAATAAAATGCGGGACTAGTTTGGAATCGTAGTTGGTAGAGGAGCGTCGGAGAGCTTCTACCATACCCACAGCGCGCTCGGAGGGAAGAAGAGTTGATCAGACTGCCCTACCTTTGCTCTTCCACGATGCACGCGCCCCTTCAAATCCGCCTCCGAATTTCGCTTGCTATTGTCCCTCTTTGATTGGATCAGGAGTATTCAACAATATGGCAGGAGGCCGAAGAGCGAGAAAGGTAAGTAGTCAAGAGGCGGGCGGGCCTCCTGAGGGTTCTAGACAATTCGCGTTGCGCAGCGCAGCATACGCCTAAGCGGCTCCGCAGGGCTATATCCGCGCCACTCGCGCCGTTGACATACCTTTCCGAAATGATTCCCCTCGCCACTCGTCTGCAGACGCTGTTCTCGAGTGCAGCAGAGAAATGAGAGCGCATTTCGCGCTGTTGAGACAGCAACCCAAGAGAATTGTCCTAAACGCAATCAGCGGGCGAAAAGGAGTCCAAAGCGGGCTAAAAGGAGTCCCATTTCTCGGGTGCCAAACTTTTTGATTCTTTTCTTTCGTCTTTGCATCACTAACCACCTCTACTTTGATTTCTGATGAGGTGTCTTTTCATCAAGTCTCATGCAAAGGGTAAGATGACCTTTTGAAAGTTGAACTGAATGAAGTTTCAATTCTTATAGTTTCTTTCAATGTACCATAGAAAACCCCGACCGCATAATTTTTTCTATTTTTCTAGTTGATATCTATCAAATGGTGATGAACATGTGTAAACGTGCAGACCAACCTCCTAACGGTATCGGACCAGTGCTTCTTTTGATGCCCCTGTTCATTACGTTAGCGGCGGCATTGTGTAGGATCAGCGCAACCACCTGCAAGAAGGGAAATGCTGAAAGTTCCTGCAGCATCTGTAACAAATTCCCATGCTTAGAAGAGAAGTTGCACATACCAGAAGTGCTATCCACTTTTGGAACATCGTAATTGATCCTAAAGTAAGCTTTTACATCGCTGCCAAGGTTACGTTTGAAAGAAGGCCTGCCCAAGCAAAGATGATTTGCATTCTTATTCAAATTCTAATGAAACGAGAATAGCTGTTATATGTGTATGGAAAAAGCAACAGGAGGCAACTGCGTGGATCCACATGTCTGCAGCTACTTACCCAATCAGCAGTCCGAAGCTTAGACTCGAGACACGCCCTCGCCCTCATCTGTGTGAATCGTGGGGATTGCGGGATGTGGAGGCGCCACAGTGAGAAGAATCCCTCGTAACTTCTTTCAGAGAATCGTTCCGCAGATACCGAAAACGGATTTGAGCTCAGCGTCGCAAGACGCGTGCATCGGACTACACCTCATTACAAATGGCCGGACTGACCAATTGACCATTCCTTGTAAGCAGCGGCTCATGACCCTCACACTTGCCAAACTGTAATAGGCACACCCCCGAAGTCCACCTCTTCGATTCCGCAGTCCTTCCTGCCCTAACCTACGCCTCAGAGACTTGGACTCTGCGCAGGCAGGACGAGCATGCGGTCAGCGTTATCCAACGCGCTGTCGAGAGGACGATGCTAGGAGTAACCCTATACACGCAAGTGCAGAGGGGAATCCGGAGTTCCGAACTACGCCAACGATCGAAGATCAGGGACGCTGCCGTTTTCGCCAAGGAATCGAAGATAAGGTGGGCCGGACACGTCATGCGATTTTGCGATGACCGTTGGACCAGAGCGGTTACCGACTGGATCCCTCGGGACGTCAAACGAACACCTGGACGACCGCCGGCCCGATGGTCACTTCTTCACGAAAGCTCTGAACGAAAGGAATGATGGACTTCGTGTCCCTCGAGCAAGGAGGATCCACTGGACCACCTCTAGCACGCGACAGGGACGAATGGAGACGTTGCTGGCGCCCGCTCGAGCAATTCGATGATCAACGGGACGACAGGTGACAGGTGACATACCCCTGGAAGTCTCTCTCTCTCAAGGTCTTAGGGCTCACCGTCGTCCTGGGATATATGACTGTCATATGCTCCGTTTTGTAATCGTCCGTGCTCCAGCATTCGCGTCAGACCACGTAGGAAAGTAGTCCAAATCCAAGCCAGCTCAGCAGCTGACCTTTTCTGCGGCGAACTCGTACAAAGTGCGTCAACGTCGTCATAACACAAAGCGCCTCTCTTCAGCTTCGACCCCTGAATCCCTAGTTTTTTTTGGAGGAGAAAGAGTTTCGAGAGTCATCACACTTTTTCATTCTCCGTAAGGAAGTTTTCGTTTATTTCAAATGCGTTGTACATGCTCACAGGTGCTCGTCCCACAATACCAGCGCTCAGCTTTTTCTGTAACCCTTTCAAAGAACTCACGAAATTAGGAACTACTCGCAGATGCTGAGTCTCGAATGAGCCATAAAATTCATCATCGAAATCCTGTTATCGAGCCGTTATCAAATGATTCGGCGTTACGCTGATATTACGAGATTTCAACATGCTTCTCTTATCAAGGCTCTGTTTCCTTGCCGCAGTGCAGCGATGAGGGTAGATGACGGGTAGTGACAAAGGGTGCCGCTTACCACTCGCGTTACATCCAAAAGTGGGCATCCTGGCGTTTGTTGCCTTGCAAGGAACGGGCGGCATTTAAAACAGTGGCGATGGTAGGTGACACAGGGTAGGGAGAGGCGCCTGGGAGAACACAAATTGATTACACCTCCACGGAATCCCTTCCCGTCCCTAAACAGTTCCAACTACTGCATGTGGCTCATTCACTTGAATCTACCCCCCCCCCCCTCCGCCCACCGATATGATTGCCGGAAACCAAACTAGGACGGCTCAGCTTAGAAATGCTAGGTTGTCACATGAGCCCGTGCATTTATTTTTTTCTTATCGGCTACCAGAAATTCAAATCTGCACAACGCCCTGCTCGAAAGTGGTACTGTGGCAAGTCGACGCTTTTGTATAAGGCCCCTGTACAAATTTTGATAATTTGTCATGGTCGGAAGCCTTCCAATCTTCTAAGGCTAGCAATTATATACAAGACTTGTCTGAAGGGTTGAAAACACCGACGTTTGCAGTGCCTTGCCCCCGCAAGTCACTATGTGGGCCACATCGCATCCAAGCGCCTCTGCAATTCTGAGTGGAAGTGAAATGCGTGGCGCATCCGAATGATCATCCGAATGGATGATCAGCGCCTGATAGTTTGTCCTTTATAACTTAGCCCTTGACTCTAAATTAGGAACCTGCTAGTATTTCTCCATAGTCAGTCAAACAGAAAACATTTAGCATTGTCATCTTTATGAAATCTGTACATAAGTATTACAATAAATGAAATATTGCTTCCTGTACAAAAAACAATTCACTTAAGCCTTTTTACAACTGAATGAACATACATCAAGAAAACAAATTAGCAATAATAACGAAATTACTAGGACTAGACCATGGCGATGAACTTCAGCACTCCTCACTCTCGCCTGGGACGACGATGTCGAGCGTCACGTAAGTCATGTCATAAACACCACCGAGTCTCTCTGCTGGCACCACGTAGTCACTGACACGCATACATCCCTGCAAAATTTGATAAGGAACTGATAATTGGCTGTTCTACATATTTTAAGCCTAGAGCAGATGGGTACGCTATCAGGGTCTAATAGATTCAACCTGGCTCAAACCGTCCCAATTATGTAACCCTGCTAACCATTGGCTTAGTCCTAGGTGGACTTTAGAGCGCGGAACGCTGACGATAAGATCTGCTATGCCTAGCCTACTCCCGCCCAATATGCGTTCCAGTAAGTTAATTAAAGGATGACGCGTTCGATGAGGTTCGGGATAAGCCACGAATTCGGCTTTTGTTCCGGCACTCAGTGTGTTGATTGTGAACTATCAGCGACCAGAGGCATCCACGCGAGATTTGATAGTTGAGCCCACCGTCATAAGGCCACATACGGCGGTCGATCTCGGTAGGGTTATGGAGGACACCATGACGTTTCAGTTGCGTCCTTCCCTTGCTCCCGCACACCGCAATGGGCCACTAACTGCCTCAAAAACCGCTGCACTGTAAAGGAGGAACTCAAATATCCAACATCACCGCTTCTGGTTACACAGCCATATTGCTGTGTGATGCGAATCAAAGGCCATTCCGCCTCCGCCTGATAGATTAATTAACATCATACAAGTGAAAAAATGGTGGGGCTTGGCCCACAGCACACACACACACATCCCCCACAATAACTGTCCATAAAGCTGAATTCGCCTTCAAGTTGTGTGTCGAGTGTCGACCAAAAGTCATTGGGTCTCACTGAAAAAAGCTAGTCATACTCGAATGCTAAATCACCTCTCGCATACGAACTGATACACTTTGAATCCCTGCCCCTGAATGAAAATACGAAAATTAATCATTCCAGAAACTTACGGGCATCCTTCTCGTACAGTTCAACGTGCACGTTTCCCAATCGTTTCTTGTTGCACACAGCAACACCTTTGACAGTTATGTTCTGCATTGTAGCCAGAACGGAAAGAGAGCAGGTGGGCCACAACGGCGGATCAAAGGACAGATTGTCATCATCTTCGAAACAGTGAACCGATCTTGTGAGGGAAGGCATCCTGTACAACAAAAGGCGGATTAACTGCCGGGAAACGAAGCCGGACTCGAAGAGATTAACCGATTTTAGGGAACGTTGGATGGCAATTGGTGAGACTCACAAAGCAATTTGTCGAATGGGCCTACACTGTTTACTACCTTGCTATTACTGTATTCTATTCCAAACGTATTGAATTACATTCATGAGTTCTAAACTTTTAGGGCCAGCAAAACTTCTATTTGTTCATTAGTAATAATTGATTAGTATAAATATTCCCGAACTTTTTATCGTAACTGTTATTTTTGGCTGCGGTTCACCGAAAGCGAAAGGTCAAGCCTAACTTTAAGCTATGGTGAATTTACCATGGAAGGCTGGGTAGAGAGGTGGCGCCCCGGTGGAGCAATCGGTAACATAACTACTCAGAGTGAGAGAAGTGCAGGTTTGATTCCCACCTGGGCGAAAGGTTTTGCCCACAACATCTGGTATGGATAATGTTGGACAGCAGACCAGGACTGTTGGAAGGAGAGGGTAGGATTTGCAAAGAGCTGCCAATATCCCTAAGGAGCTGCAGAGTTAGCAGATGATGGTGAAGAGAGAGGGAAGAGTTGCTGGAATACCGAGCTGCGGTCCTCCGCTTTATATAGGGCTAAGCAATGGCGGCAGTTGCTGTGTTGATCGCCGAAAGGATCGCGATTTTGGGTCGTTTATCTCAAATCCCTCTGCCGTTGACGCCATAACAACGACTACGAAACATAAACATAAACACCGTTTAGCGTTGCTCGGGGGATATAAATAAGCTGGTTATTGGTCGCTCGGCATAGGAACGCATTTGCAGTGTGCTCGATCCCCGGTTGATCATTGAGACGTAGCCATTCAAAATCACTAACCATTACACATCGTAGGATTTCCAAACAGCAGTTGTTCAATCCACTGCTCTATGGAGCCCTCATTCTAATAGCTCTACCAGTAAAGGATAAGCTAGTAGGCGCTCGACGTAAAAAAATCGCTTTTCAGGATGCGCCACGCTTGTACTTCCATTCGGAATCGTAGTGGTCTCTTGACTGCGTTGGTTTGTAGAGCGACTTCAGTGGCCAACCGACATATAAGACAGCGTTTTCATGCTCAAAGCAAACGCCTAATCAGTTTAAGCCGTTGGTTGTGCCAATTTCAAAATTTTGCGATCCTTTCCCTTTCAGAAATTTTTATACGCCCCCCCCCCACTCTGCACCAGCCATGCATGTATTTGTGTAAATTTGGGTTCAAAAAAGCGGTACCCTTATGCTGAGCTCTCGACCACTTCACTCGCTCAGCGTTGGAGCGCGCATTACTTTTCAGATGAATGGAAAGAACGAGGCATGGAATTCTACTCTCTTGGAGGCAAACAGAGTTACATGTCGCAAATGTGCACAGAATTGACTTCGGGATAGATAATGACGAAATATTTGTCGCCGGGCTCCCGAACCCCCTTTTGTTATGGAGATAAAGGGATAAAGCATTTGCCGTTGATCAATCCCTTTTTGGGATGCGGCACGCATTCTACTTCCATTTGTACATTCGTAGTGGCGTTTGAATGCGATGTGGCCTATACAATGACTTGCGGGGGCCAGCCGATGTTCAAGTCAGCTTGTCTTCTCTCAGGACAAGTCTGTACGATTACCGACCGCGCGATGGAAGGCTTGCGTGGCGGGAGAAACGCACGCCCAGGGATTGTTCTTCCAGACCCTCCTGTGGCAAGCTGCCACCTGCCGCCCATACACTTACGCCGCCCCCCCCCTTGGTTATGGAGTGAAAAATTCAACTTTCGGGTGATCACGGACCTCTTCATCTATGATTAGCGATATCACAATTATATCCAATCTTCGCTCAATTGCGTTTTCTTGGACGAAGTGAAAATTTTAAGCAAGTCAACCTGCTTCCTTTCTAAAAGATGTTTAAACGGCCGTCAGTTATTCGTAGTATTGATAATCGTTACCTCATATTGTGCACATGCTGGTTTTCAACCTTCAAACCTTTACAATTTCCCTTATCAACAGCAACTTGCAGAGCTCCGAGGCTTACGAAAATTCAGATAATCATCGTTTTTTCTACGATTTTATTGGGCACTTTGCCGAAATGCAACATTTCAACATTTAAACGTTAATACAGTTCTTCGACAAGGTTTTATGGAAAGCGGTCAAAGCCATGGAGACTCAACTATCGGCGCTTTCCAAGATATGCTGATCTCCTAAATAACTCTTCAGTGGAAACCTTTTCCTCGTACCATAATTTTTTAGTAAGTCCTAGATATCAATCGCTGAGTTCATTGATTTTGCTGATTGGCTCGGCCTGAAAACACCGAGTTCCTTCTGTAGGAATCGACCATGGAATATAATACAAACATTTACATGTAACATGCTCTGGATACGCCATTGTAATCGTTCGTGGTTAGAAGTCTCAGCGTATCTGAAATTTCTATTCTTCTCTGATATCTCTAGTCACTTAGCTATGCTGGAAGTCTTCAAATCGGGCGTGGCTCTGCCACTTTGGACTTACCGTCCCTTTCGTTGGACCAACTGGTGACCTTCACTCAACTTTGGGTGAAACGACGTCTTGGCTCTGAATATAGCCTCATAAGCCGAATCCAAAGTAATGGAGCTCCTGACATAGTAGTATCACCTAGGGTTTGATCTCCGAGCCCCGGGCCGTGCGCGTGCTACGTGCCAGTTGTTACTTCACCATCCCCCTCACAAAGATGATGTCAACACGCAATCTGGTTCCAGTTGACAACAAATCCGATGATTTTAAAAATAGAATCAGAAAGCTATTCGCGTTGCGGCTATGAATACCTGGACTGCAAATAACTCAGCCTTGTATTCTAAATATAGGTAAATTCCGTATTGCGCTTCAAAGCCTCATTATTAACATAAATCAGGGCTATCGCTTGACTTATTGATCATCAGTTGATTAGTTAATTAGTTCAGTTAATTTCGCTATTAGTTAATTTGATTCAGTTCGGATTTACGAACCTCTCATAATATTTCATCTGTGATCAGCAATGTAATCCACCGTAACGTTACAAAGTTTGATATCTGCTGTCATTACATCATGGCTAACGAATGGCGTCAGGGTCAGCCGTACTGGTGCACGGGGCACGGAATCAGCATGGACCACTTCCAGGATGGGGTTTCTATCAGGGTCAATCCTCGCTTTTTGCTAATCCAAAAACGTTCTCCAACTACGCCCAATCTACCGTCCTACCGCGACAGGGAAAGGTGGAGGAGGTGAACCTAAATATATAATTTAGAATTGAAGAAGCAGCTATGCTCGAACAACATCACGCCTATTCGGGAACCGCGAAAGAATCCGGGAAAATCGACTCCCTTTCCTCCTCTGTCCTATGCTCAATCCACCACTACGACCCCTTCTGGAAATCTCAACTACAATGCACTAAAACGTGAATTACTATTCCCCCTCCCCTCCGTTAATCTCTACTCAATAGCGATCGATGCAGCTTGGAGACGATGGCGAGCATTATATGAGATATATAGTAGACCTCACAAAATTTGTCTTTTAGCACAATTTAGTCACCGATGCGTTGGCAACACTGAAGTAAGGATGAGTTCAACTGAACTAATTCTATGGAGTACAGGACTTGGCCCAGGGTCAAGCGTGCATTAAAAAAAGCTCGAAGAGGGGTTTGTATTTTGTGCGGTGGGACGGAGCGAGTCGCAAAGCGAGTTCCAGGATAGCCTATGAAAAGAGCATCGATAAGCCATTCGCTCAAGGGTAACAGTTGCGAGCAGGGTCAAGCGTGCGTTGAGGAATCCTCGACATGTCACAGGGGGGGGGGTCGTATTGGCCCGCTGGGGGAAGAGATCGGGCCGATTGATGCAGTAGGATCATCGTCGGAGGACAAACATCAAGGATCGAATCGATACCAGGCCAGAGTATTTCCAATAACAATTGATTCCACCCACACAAAACCTCCGTGAT